CTTTGACAATTTCAATCTTTTCTCCATTTATCATAATGCTGTTTATAGGTCCAGTTGTGAGGATTTTTGTTTTCTTTATATTGAGATGTAATCCATACTTCAGACTGTATTCTTTAGTCTTCATCAATAAGTACTTCAAGTCATCCTCACTTTCAGCAAGCAAAGTTGGGTCCTCAGCGTATTGCATGTTGTTAATGATGCTTCCTCCAATCCTGATGTCCTATATAGGACACAAGAGAACTACGCAATTGGGTTTCCAAGGATGTAATCTTTAGGGACTTCTGTGAAGCCACTCATGGATTTCAACTACCAACTTTTCAGTTAGCAACCTAGTACTTTAGTACTGTGTTGTTAGGACTCCTTGTTAGGCTACCAAAAGGTGCTCTGGTGGGGCAATGCCTAAGGCATGTGACTGCTAACCAGAATGTTGGCAGTTTATAGGAATCCTATTTAAAAGAGGAAGTGGCCTAAACAGATCACATGGACAATATAGGAACCAAGTTTCACTAAGCTCAAGGTTGTACATGTGCATGTGTGTTTGGTTGTTGTAGTGATCGTTTTTAAATTAAGTTTTGTTCCCTGCTTCCAATTGTTTTCTCAATGTGGTCTGCTTTTCATTTTCCCTATTCCTTCTGCTTTGGTTAGCATCTCTTAAGGGCAATAATTTATTTCTTTTAATCTAGATATAATGGCCACATAGGTCATTTGGCTCAGTCAAATGCCATCGTTAAACAAAAACGAGATTTTCAATTCAAAAGCTCATTAGCCCCACTCTCTCCGTTTTGCATGACCTTGTCCACCAGGGTTCAAACCTTTCTATGCCTCTGAATCAAAGTGCACCTGAGTCAGGCTCAAGCTCAGCGACTCCCAAATGGGTTCCCGAAGGACAAAGAGCCTTTGCAAGCAGACAGCCCATCTAGGGTCTGTCCCAGTCCCGCGCGAGCTGCGAGCACATTTGCAGAAAATGGTCTGGCTCTGAGATTTTGTTTGTTTGTTCTTTAAAGCTTAATACCTTTATCTTTGCATACCAGGCGGCAGGTCGGCTCCAAGCCTTGGTCCTGCCCCCTCCTCCTCCAACTGGGTATAAACCCTGGTGCCACCTCCTGAGTTACCAAAGAAGTACAACTTTCCCAGAGAGGTGCGGGATGTCCCGGCTGCTTCTCCAAAGCAGACATCTCTGTCGCTCAAGAGGAAACATCCTCGACTTCCCTTTTCCCTCACCTCCTCTCAAATGTGGGCGGACCCAAAAGGCTGCTTCTGTCTTTATTTTATGTAAATCTTTAAAACCCACTACTCATAAAGCTGATAAGGCCCCCTTGGGCCTCCCTCCAAAACAAAGCCGTAAGAGGTCGGGGAGTTAAAAGGTCTGGATCGGGAAAGAAACGTGACGTGCATAGGCGTGAAGTGGGTCCCCAAGGGTACGACCCTTATTTCCAGGGTTAGGTGACACTCCCTCCCAAGTCTCTCCCACCTTGTGCAAAGGGAGCTCGTATCCAACTGGCTGGAGTGGGTGCGTTCTCACTCCGAGAAGCTAGCTCCCGCCTTGGGTGTGGACCCGGTTCACCGCCCGCACGGCAGCCTCCGGGTCCCGGTAGGAGGGCGCGAAGGAGGACAGCCAGCAGCGGCGACTGAGCTGCAGGGTGGGGGTGGGGGTGGGGGGCGCCGGCCGCCGTGCGGATTGGCTGTGCCACCGCCCCCTCCCCGCGCCGCGCGCCCCCAGCCGTGCGCCCAGTTCTTGCGGGCTAGCAACCACGGAACTGACTCCCGCAGGAAGGCGGACGCGCAGGGGCGGGACTGGCCTTCCCGCCCCGCACAAGACCTGCGGGCCCAGCGTAGACAGCGCGCGCGGGGATAAAACCCTGCCGGCGGCGCGCGGGAACCCCCGGGTACTGCAGCCTCCTGAGCGTGGAGAGGAGGGGCGAGTCCTGACCTTTTCCCCGCGCCCCTCGAGACCTCGTACAGCCAGCGGGGTGTCCCCCGCGCGAGCACTTGTGGGCCACAGCGCCGAGGCGGTACCTTCAGCCGTGCACTGAAAAGAGCCCGGGAGAACCAACGGAGCCGGCGGAGAGGCTTCCTGAGCTTAGGGCTGCTGCCGCCGCCTCGGCTGCTTGAAACTCCCCAAAGTTAAGAGGCAGCAAGAGGCTGCCGCCAGCCGGGTGCTAGAGGGAAAGGAAATCGGAAGATGCAAGAGTAACAGAAGATAGACGACAGACAGATACACAGACCTTTAGAAGACACCACCGTCGGCGGCCTATTCCCGGAGCCTGTGAGGCTTCCCAGCTCCGTGAGTTGTTTTCTGGATGGGTGGCTTGCCAAGTATTTCCGTTTAATTGTTTATAGCATGCGTTTGTGTATTTTTGTGTCTATTGGAGGGAGTTTAAAAACAACGCTGAATGTAACTTTAAAAAAAAAAATGAGCTTCTGATTGGGAAGCAGTTGTATTGATAGATTGTGGCTGTAAATATCTGTAAGCAGGCATAACCAAGAATTGCATTTTTTTTTTAAGCAATATAGTGCTCCGCAGTGTGAAATAAAACCCCCGTTTCACAAGTTATTGGCAAGGAAGCTAAGCAAGTTATGACTATTAAGGGTTAACTAGTGGTAGTTAACTTCTGCTTTTTCCCCCCTGTCTTAAATATTGATTATTTCCCAGGCTCACTGGTGGGAGGCTGAGCTGGTGGAAAACGCGCCGGGAAGAGACTCAGAGGCGACCATAATGTCTTTACGTTTACACACACTATCCACCCAGCTTGGAGTTGTCAGACCGAGCTGCAGGGAGATGCTGTGTTTGTTGGTCATCACAGCGACTGTGAGCCGTGGCGCCTCGGGGATGTGCCCCACCGCTTGCATCTGTGCCACTGACATTGTGAGTTGCACCAACAAAAACCTGTCCAAGGTGCCTGGGAACCTTTTCAGACTGATTAAGAGACTGGATCTGAGTTATAACAGAATTGGCCTCCTGGATTCTGAGTGGATTCCAGTATCTTTTGTAAAACTGAACACACTAATTATCCGTCATAACAACATCACCAGCATTTCCACAGGCAGTTTTTCCACCACTCCAAATTTGAAGTGTCTTGACTTATCATCCAATAAGCTGAAGACTCTGAAAAGTGCTGTATTCCAAGAATTGAAGGTTCTGGAAGTGCTCCTGCTTTACAACAATCATATCTCCTATCTCGATCCTTCTGCATTTGGAGGGCTCTCCCAATTGCAAAAACTCTACTTAAGTGGAAACTTTCTCACACAGTTTCCCATGGATTTGTATGTTGGAAGATTCAAACTGACAGAACTGATGTTTTTAGATGTTTCTTATAACCGGATCCCTTCCATGCCAATGCACCATATGAATTTAGTGCCAGGAAAACAGCTGAGAGGCATCTACCTTCATGGAAACCCATTTATCTGTGACTGTTCCCTCTACTCATTGCTAATCTTTTGGTATCGTAGGCACTTTAGCTCAGTGATGGATTTTAAGAGTGATTATTCCTGCCGTTTGTGGTCTGACTCTAGGCACTCCCATCAAATGCTTCTGCTGCAAGACAGCTTTATGAATTGCTCTGACAGCATCATCAATGGTTCCTTTCGTGCCCTTGGCTTTATTCATGAGGCTCAGGTTGGGGAAAGGTTGGTTGTCCACTGTGACAGCAAGACTGGTAGTGCAAATACGGATTTTGTTTGGGTCAGTCCAGATAACAAACTGCTGGAGCCTGAGAAAGAGGTGGAAAACTTTCGTGTCTTTCGCAATGGAAGTCTGATTATAGAAAGTCCTCGTTTTGAGGATGCTGGAGTGTATTCTTGTATTGCAATGAATAGGCAACGACTGTTAAATGAAACTGTGGATGTTACCATCAACGTGAGCAATTTCACTATAAACAGATCCCATGCACATGAGGCATTTAACACAGCTTTTACCACTCTAGCTGCCTGTGTGGCCAGTATTGTTTTGGTACTTTTGTACCTCTATCTGACGCCATGTCCCTGCAGATGTAAAGCCAAGAGGCAGAAAAATATGCTAAACCAAAGCAATGTCCATTCATCTATTCTCAATCCTGGCCCTGCTAGTGATGTCCCAGCTGACGAACGGAAGGCAGGTGCCGGGAAAAGAGTCGTCTTTCTGGAACCCCTGAAGGATACTGCAGCAGGGCAGAATGGGAAAGTCCGGCTCTTTCCTAGCGAGACAGTGATAGCTGAGGGCATCTTAAAGTCCACAAGAGTGAAATCTGACTCAGATTCTGTCAATTCCGTGTTTTCAGACACACCCTTTGTGGCATCCACTTAATTTTGTGCCTGTATTTGTGTGCTGTGGTAATTTACTCTCTTCCTATTTAACTTTGTGTGTAGCCTGGAAAATAAACAACAGGGCAGATACTGTATTTGTTTGTTTTAAATGCAACCAAAAGATCTCTTTAAGAGGAGCCTTGATGGCACAGTGATTAAAGTATTCGGCTGCCAACCAAAAGGTTGGTAGTTTGAACCCACCAGCTGTTCGAACCCACCAGCTGCTCTGTGAGAGAAAGATGCGGCAGTCTGCTTCTGTAAGGTTTTGCAGCCTTGGAAGCCCTATGGGGCAGTTCTACTCTGTCCTTACAGGGTTGCTATGAGTCAGAATCTACTTGATGGCAGTGGGTTGGGTTGGGTTTGGTTTTGGTCTTTTTAAATGGGATAGGAAATATGGCACAGTGTTTTGGTTCCTCATTGTGCCAGAGAAAAATAGTGTTGTTTTCTATAGCTTACATTCTAGATAGTCTTTAGCACCGCTCAGAATTTCAGAGCTGGCCCAGAGGTGATACGACTGACATGGTTCCATTCCGTGTTCTTAAAAAGAAAACAAAAACAAAAACATTTATGAATGTTCTCAGAAAATAGACTTTGCAAACTTAGCAAGACCAAAGTTGAATTATTTGAAAGAAAAGCACAGTGTTTTGTTTTTTAAGAGGTATAGAAGGACAAATAAAGCAGTAACTATTAATAAAGCACAAAGAAAAGTTAGTCTTGAGAATTTTTCAGCTAATTTCATCGTTTCAGACCGGGGTGAACAGGCTACACTGATAAAATTTACTGGGTAATGCCACATCCTTCATGGTGTTAGATAAATCGTGCAATAAAGATACATTTGTTTGACTGTCTCCTTTCCATTCTGTACTTTTCCAATCCTTGTACAAAAGATCTCATTGAAAGTTTAAAGCCATTATTTGTAGCCCTAAAAATGTAGGCGTCAATACCAAACTGTCTGAGTAACTTCTTAAACCTTTGTTCTAGCAAAGTAATATTTGTTCATATGCTTGTGTGTATGTAGATCTTAAAATTATATGAACTATTAAATGGACTCTTGTGGTTTGAACTAATGTAAATATATGTATTCTGTGATTTGATGTTCTGTTTTATTTGGTTATTTAAAAATATAAATCTAAGATGTTTTATGTGATTAAGTTATGCTATTTTGCTTAGAAAATTATCTCTAGCAAATATCTTTCCAAAGTTTGTGGAGTGACAGTATAAAGTTTAATTTTTAAAGAGAGAGGAAGATTCCAAAGTGTTCTAGATGTATTTATATCTTCTATGTCACATTTTACTCTGATACCATTATTCATTCAACCATGTTTGGAAGACACACGCTACAGTTTTGCAGTCTGTGAGAACTGATTAGACCTTACTGTCCCCAGCTCTGCCATGATGTAATTGTTTCCTCTCTAGACCTAGGTTTTCTCAACTGCAAAATGAGGGTATCAGACCTAATGATTATTTAAGGTTTCTTCTCACTGTGGAAGTGATAGTTTTCTGGAGGTAGCTCCAACACGGACTTAGACTAGCCTTCTGCAGTAGCCTGTGCAGTGTGAAAATGGGAGCAGGATAGACTAGAATAGCACTGTGTAGCTTGAACAGGTCTGGATCATCAAGCTTCTTCTCTTTCTTGGCCTAGAAAGGGATGTGAGTTGTCCAAAGTCACACAGTACAAGTTTAGCATCCTTCCTGGAGAAGATAAGAAAGCTGAAAGAATGTATACTTTGACTAGAAGAGGGCACAGAGAAGGAGCCAAAGAAAGAGGCAAAAGGGTGGTCAAATCTGAATCTGAGTCAGATTTCTCAAAGGAGTAGCAGAGATGCATTATTACTGGGGCTGAGAGAGAAGAGGACTTTTTAAAAAATGGGAGTGGGCAGCAGTAACAAGTACTGCAAAGAAGTAGATGAGGATGGAAAAACCATTGGCTTTGGCGATGGCATGTGACTGCTAACCAGAATGCTGGTGCTTCAAACCCACCAGCCACTCTTCAAAAAGAAGATTAGGCAACCTACTTCTGTAGAGATACCATCTCGGAAACCCAAGGTGGGGTCGCTATGAGTCAAATTGATTTGATGGCAGTGAGTTTGGTATGGTTTTGGTTTTGACAATGGTGGTATAGTGGATAAGGCATTTGGCTGGTAACCAGAAGGTCCACGGTTCAAACCCACCAGCTACTCTACCTAAGGAAGATGGGGCAATCGACTTCAGTAAAGAGTTACAGCCTCAGAAACCCAATGAGGGTCGCTTTGAGTCAGAATCAACTCGACAGTGAGTTTGGTTTGGTTTTGGGTTTGGCAATGTTGGTTTTGAAAGAAGAGGGTCAGCAATAATAATAGTAGACACAGTGAGACTTCACTAAGTGCCATGACCTACTCTAAGTGGCAGAAAGTGGTCAGCAAGGGGTTAAGGAGTAACTAAGTGGTGAGGAAGTATGCCTGTAGGAAATTGGATGCAGAACCACTGTCAAACATTGACAATTCCTTATTGGGTCTGTTAAAAATTTACCACCTCTCCCTCTCAAACACAAAACTCAGCCTTTTGATAAGATCCTTCAGTCTGTTAGATAAGATGCCCTCAAATTATTAGAAAAGAATTTTGTAGCTTTGTTTGAATCATTTCACCCTCTTGCTTCGTTTCTGGAGAAACTCAGTCTCAGAGATGCTGTGACTGGAAAAACCCTTGACCCACTAAAGCTATCCAGAATGGGAAGGGCTGTGTGGAGGGAAGTTACAGAGAAGATCTCTGAGCCTCTTCTGGTTTGCCTTTCCAGCCCTAAAAGCCTTGATTCTAGAAAATGTTACAAAATATGGGCAGTGCTAGGAATGAGTAGTTTGTAGAATCTAATCCCAGCTGGTCTAATACTCCAATTTTGATTAAAGACAGGATGAGCTGAAATCAAAACTAAGATATTATAACCCAAACAAAAGAACACTAAACAATCCTGAAAACTGGAAAGGAAAGCTGTGTTTTCAGCAAAAGTAGGAAGGCATGGAGATTTAAAAAAAAAAAAAGCATGGAAGTGAATGTTATGTGGAATTTTAAGTTCTTAGGTATATCATTTTATTGGTAGGAGCCTGATCACATGCATTGTAAATAGAAACAAAACTTGTTTGTGCTTTGAAAATTCATCCCATTTAAAACTTTTATATAATTTTCTTTCCAGGAAGCAATGTCGATTTCTATGAGTGGAGTGGGTTATTCATTAAAATACTTGGTAATTTTTATCACACATGAGAAGTGGAAACCCATTGGAAAATTAAGCAAAGATTTTAGAGATAAAAATTTCCCTTGGATTAGAATATTTTTTCCCTTTAATGAGTATGCTAGACACACTTTTCTGTATGTTTATGATAATCTATCTGTAGTTAATCATGAGTTAAATTTCTCAAGATTTATAATCAAAAAATAGCTTAGAACATTTTCTTACTTTGGTCAACTTCTGCATTAATCTTCTTTACTGTTTGACCTAGAGAGTTTTAAATTTACTCATTTTTAGCTGTAAATACTTGAATTATCTGCATAGAAAATATTTTGTTTTCCTGTAAGTAAGCATTATTTTCTGAAATGTTAATCAGAAGAGATAGGTGAAACTTTCGGGAGCGGAAACATAGAGGGGAGACAGACTCAGTATAAATTCTGGAAGGATATTGGATGAACCTGCAACATTGTCGCTTGTCCTTTGTCCTATGTGCTGCCTGATTTCTGCTGCCTTCCAGTGTCATCTGATTTACTAAGTCACCTGGTCTAAAACCAGGCTTATTAATAGAATCATAGGAGAAATGTAAACAAAGACCACCCAACCATAGTGTCTGTTTCACAAGGTTTGGTGTAAGGCCTTCCAAACCATATTTTTTAAAAAATTCACCAGGTAATTCTGATTCTGCCTATTTTGATAAAAAGACATCCTGAAATGGGACCATATCAAATTTTGTGTGGAAGTATTTTATTCTTACTTGCCAAGAGGTTTTTTTTTTTTTTTTTTTTGATAAAAAGCAGAATCTTAGTCCCCTGTTTATTTTTTTTCTAAATTTTATTGTGGTTCCAGTGAAAGTTTACAGAGCAAATTCATTTTCCGTACAGCAATTCATACACGTTTTGTTTCATGACACAGTGTTACAGCTCTCTTTTTGCTTCCTCCCTGTAGTTACTTCTTCCTTGTGTCCTTCTTCCCTATCCATTCCTGCCTCCTTGTGCATTCCATCTTCCTGTGCAAATACTGCCCTTCTATTCTCTCATGATTGATTGTTCTAATGACAGTATCTACCTGGTCTAAGTGTTCACCATATATGCTATTATTTGCCTGGAAGCCATGGGAATGAGTACAGTTCCAGGCCTAAAAGCTAACTAGGGGCCATAGTCTTAGGGGTTTCACCAGGCTCTATCAGGTCAGTAAGCCTGATCTTTTTTATGTTTTTAAATTTCTTGAGGCTTGCTTTGTGACCTAACTTATAGTCTTATTCTGGAGAGTATTCCATGTGCACTGGAAAAGAATGTATATTGCACTGTTGTTGGATGAAGTGCTCTGTGGATGTCTACAAGGTCAAGTTGGTTGATTGTATTGTGCAGTTCTCTGTCTTTGTTGATTTTCTTTCCAGTTGTTCTGTCTTTCATTGAAAGTGTGTATTAAAGTCTCCTACTATTACTGTGGAGTCATGTATTTCTCTTTTCAATTCTGTTAAAGTCTGATTTATGTATTTTGGGGCTCTTTCATTGGGTGCACAGATATTTATTATGGTTATGTCCTCTTGTTCAATTGATATATTCTCCTTCCTTTTATCTTATGGTGGTTTTTGTCTTAAAGTCAGTTCTATCAGAAATTCATATTGCCACTCTTGCTTTTTTGATTGCCATTTGTTTGATATATCTCTCTCCAACCTTTGATTTTTAATCTATTTTTCTCCTTATGTCTAAGGTGGGTCTCTTGTAGACAGCATGTTGATGGGTCATGTTTTCTTATGCAGTCTGCAACTTTCTGTCTTTGGAGTAGTGCATTTAATCCATTTGCATTCAGTGTAATTATAGACAAGTATGGATTTATTGCTGTCATTTTTTATGTGTTTCTTTGTTTCATGTAATTTTCTGTGCTGAGCTCATTTTGTGTGTGAATCATG